GGTATTAAGAGGAAAATTACCAGAACATGGGAAGGGTGGTTGTGATAGTACGTGAAAAGATAGAGCCAATGGAAGGTTTCAAATGTGCAAACCAGAGAATGATGCAAGCACCAGAAGTGGGGTGTCAGGAGGACTGACACTCCCAAACAGCACAGACCAAGTGGCAGTTCCTTCCTCCCTTACCAGGCCTACCCTTGCAAGGCCCCTCCTGGTTTCCCCTGAATGGACTTGGGCCTTCACCCCTCCCCCTTTCCCTTCTCCTTTCAGCAGAACAAAAGGACACAGGCTACTCTGTGGGGACCATCATTGGCAGCGTGATCGGGGTCCTCATTGTGGTGGCTCTGGGGGCCTCCCTGGGCTATTTCCTGTACCTCAGGAGGACGAGGAGGTACCATGGCATTTCCTTCACCCTCACCCTAATCCTGTCCCCTGACCCAGGCTACCCCCAGCGAAGCCCAGGCCAAGAGGAAAAGACCCCGTCCTCAGAGGTTTCTGGCCAGTTACCTGTGGCCTCCCAGCTTCCCCGTGGGGGCTCCTAACTCCCTTCATCCAGCTCCTCTCTCACCAGCTGCTGACCAGGGTGGTTTCCTCAACTACTTCCTCACCTATAAATGAGGCACAATTAAGGAACTGTGTCTGTTCCCTCCACACACCTGCAGCAGTGCCGGCAGGTAGTAAGTGCTCAGTAAGGCATCTCCTATTGTTTATCTAAGTCCACCCTCCCAGGTGAGGGTGGGGCTACCTCAGGATCTGAAAGTCATCCTGGCCAAGGCCACACAGCTGAGGGTGGAAGAGCCTGGACAGGCTGGGTGGGGTCAAATGCCCCAGGAGGCCATTGTGGTAACCAGAACCGTGATGTGTGAGAGGGGAGGACAGCAGAGCCTGTGGTGTGAATTTTGCCTCTAGTTCAGGTGGATGGAGACAGGACAGGCCACTGTCAGTGTAGCTCAGTAGGCCTGAGGGGCGGGTCTGGCCACAGCAGGCACCACACTCATCCAGATGCTACATGAGAGGCTGACACTGCTGACCCCTGAGGCCTTGACTTTTCCACTAGGTCAGACCCTCGGGTGGACTCCTGTCCTGGGTCTTCAGTCCCTTCCCTGGTAACTCCTCCCAGACCCCCATCTGCCTGAGGGTCCTTTCCCTGTGTGCCCAAGTCAGCTGTGAATCCTTAAGGTCTTGTGTCAGTTCCCCTCTCTTGGGTCCATCCCCCCTAAAAAGTGGAGAGAGGCCTCCACCCTCTGCTGGGCAAGGAGGCCCTCCTTGCCCCCTGTTGTGACACCAAAGCTCCCCTGCACCTCTCACAAGTAAGTCTGACCTTTCCCAGGGCCAGTGACTCACATGGCCTCCGAGAGCACCCACCTCCAGCGGCCACACCCGGTGAGTGTCTGTTCAGCCTGGAGCCCCTGGGCCTGCCCCACAGTGTCCACCCCTGCCCTTGTCCCTCAGGCCCTGACCCTTCCCTGGGCTTCAAGGGGATTCTCATCACTACTCTGCACAGGGGACCCCTATCGCCAGTCAACCCTGACCTATAGGCTGTGTCATGTGTCACCACCTCTCCCTCACTGGACCCTGAAATGGCCAGAGGATCTTGCTCTGGGAGATGACCTTTCACCCCTGGCTCTTGGGAGCTAAAGAACCACCCCCTCCTGAGAGAACAGGCCAAAGCTTCCCCCCTCCACCACCACCCCTCCCCCTGGGTGTTAACTCCTCCTGTCTCTGCTCCCAGGCCAGGGTACCTCTGGAACATCTGCCTTCCCGGTAAGTCCATCCCCTCCCGGTTCCCTCACCCAGGGCCTCAGTGACTCATGCTCAGGGCAGGGGAACCATCAAACCTCTCAACACAGCACAGACCCCTTCCCCAGAACAGCCAGCACAAGGAGATCCCTGCCCTGGCCTGGTGGGGCCCTCACATCAGAGGTGAACAGGGCAGGGACAGAGTCTGAGTGGAACCCTGGAGTCCATCATGGAGCACAATGGGCACTAGGAACACCAATCAGGGGTCCCAACTAACAAGGGTGAGAGGGTGCAGTGAGGGTTGAATTGGGGAGCTGGGCTACAGGTGTGAAGATAGCTGCTCAGGAGGCAGAGCTGTCAGTCTTGTGGAGAAAACCCTCCCTCCCCATCCTCTGATGCCTTCTCTCCCCCTGCACAGGGCCCCCTACCCGACCCCAAGACAACAGGTCCCATCTATGAGGTGAGTGTGGCCTATGATCGTTCTGGCCTGCAGGTCTCAGGGGGCCCAGGAGCTGCCCCCAGCCCAGCCCTGGCTGTGCTTCCAGGCTCAGGAAAGGGCAGAAATACTGAAAACAGAGGATGGGGGAGGGAGGTGCCCAGGGACAGACGCCCCGGCACAGTCAGCCCCATAGAGCCCCACAGCACTGGTTCTGAGGAAGCTGCAGGGCTCAGAGATCTCTTCTTTCTATGACAGGAATTGCTCCACCCAAACACAGATGTATACTGCCGCATCATCCCCAGAGCAGACGTGGCTTCTTAGTTACTCCAAGACCTGAGACCCCGCACCCTGCGGATGTGGCCTGCCCCAGAGAACCAGCTCTGAGCATCATGCTAAGAGAAAGAAGCCAGTGGGAGAAAGATAAACAGCACATGATCTCACTCATTTGTGGAATATAATGAACAACATAAACTGATGAACAAAAATAGAGCCGGGGGCGGGAAATATTTTAGAATATAATAGTAGTCCTCCTGTTATTGGCATATTTTTAATATTTCCTACAATGTTTGTGATATCATACTATGTTATACAGTTTTGATATGATTATACTTAAAATCCTGTTTTATGAAATATTAATGTTTATTGCATGTAATATTATATTAAGATCATTTTTCTTAAATAATTATTGCATTTAATATTATTATATTTAAAATAGTAAAAATGAAGGGATGGAAAATCTTTCCCATGCAAATGGGAGAGAAAAAAAAGCTGGAGGAATAATACTCATATCTGACAAACTAGACTTCAAAATGAAGGCCATCACAAGAGACAACAAAGGTCACTACATAATACTAAAGAGATCGATCCAACAACAGTATATAACCCTAGTAAACATATATGCACCCAATATAGGTGCACCTCAATATATAACAAATCTTCTAGAGGACTTTGATGGAGACATTGACAACAATACAGTCATAGTAGAGGACTTTAACACCCCTCTGACTTCACTGGACAGATCTTCCAGACAAAAATATAAAAAAGAAACAGAGACTCTAAAGGACACACTATATCAGAAGGATTTAACAGACATTTATAGAACATTTCATCCCAACAAAGCAGAATATACATTCTTCTCAATTGTACATGGAACATTCACAAAGATAGACCACATGTTAGGACACAAAACAAGTCTCTACAAGTTCAAGGAGATTGAAATCATATCAAGCATCTTCTCAGATCACAGTGGAATGAAATTAGAAATCAACTACAGTAAATATACCCCAAAACATTCAAACACCTGGAAGCTAAATAGCATGTTATTAAACACTGAATGGGAAGACAGAAGACAGCGGTGATATAGGCAGACGCATCCCAGGTCATGTCCCG